CAGTTCTCCCGCCTGGAGGGGGCTGGGGCGGCCCGAGCGGCACCTGGGCAGGACTGCTCGGTGCGCGCCCCACAAAAGTACTCAACTCCTTCCCCGCTAGCCACTCTCGCCCTGGTCCCAGGCCCGCACTCACCGGCCACCTCGAGTCCGGGCTCATCGCCGGGGCCGCCCGCCGGGGCTCCGACCCCACTTGGCGGGGAAAGACGGGCCGGGGAGGGAGAGCCCCAATTCCGGAGACTTCAGACCTCGCCACCCCGGCCCCTTGCCGTCCCACGCTCTGGCCCCGGCTCCCCGGGATTCCCGCGCTGACCCCCGCCGCTCCCGGTTCCGCCGGAGCCCCGGTGTCTCAACTCTGTCGGCTGTCTCCTGTTTCGAGAGCCCCTAAATTGCCCGGTCTCGGGACCCGGCGCCGCTGGAACAATGGAGGCTCTCGGAGGCAGCGCGGGGACGGCGGCAGCAGAGACGGTGGCGGCAAAGGCAGGGACAGCGGCGGCGGCAGCAGCGGCGGCGACGGCGTCTGCGCAGGGTAAACGTAGTGCCGCGGCGCTGCCGAACTGCACTTTCGCCACAAATCTCCCCCCGCCAACCGAGGCTCCAGAGACCATGCTCTGGAACTCGTAAGGGCCCCCTGAACATCCCACAGGGCTTCTCTAGCACCTCCATCTTAGAGTTGAGTTTAGTCGCGGTACCCAGGATCCGGAGTGGTGGGGCCATGTGTGGCGAATCTGCGGCCCCGAACGTTGAGCGCGGGGCTGGACTGGAGGAGCCCGCCCTTCTCCCTTCCCCCTCAGTCTCCTCCCTCCCTTGTCCCTCCCCGACGCTGGCGCCGCGGCTGCGGTGGAGTCCTGGCCTTGGTCTCCCAGGAAGGCGGCGAGGCGGGGCCAGAGCCATGGGGCGGGGCGGGGGGGGCAGGGCAAAGAGCAAGAGGGAGCAAGAGGGACGTGGGCTTGACCCGGATTTATGGTAGGGGCGGGGCTGGAGGAGAATAAACCAGCCTGTGGGGCGGGGCTTTAGAGGGGGCGGGCTTTAGAGGGGCGGGGTCACATGTAAAATACCTCCTGGCTAGGAGAATAGGGACTGAACCGGGGCAAAGAGTGAGGCTAAACCGGAGTGGGGGCCTCAGGAAACTAAGGGCGGGGCTTTGGATGGGTGTGGAAGGTGGAGCTGGGATTGGAAGAAAGGATAGAACGAAGCGAGGCTTCAAGGAAGGGGCGGGACTTGGGAAAGGTAAAGGGGCGGAACTAGACGGAAAAGGCGGTACCGAGTTAGGAATAACGGGGCGTGGCTGAAGGAAAGGGAAGGAGCTTGGGAAAGGTAATGGAGCAAGACTGGAGGCAAGGTGTGGATCCGAAAGAAGGGACCGGATTTGGGGAGGTGCAGAGGGCTGTTGGAGCGTGAAAGGGCTTGTCTACGGTAAAATGGGATTCGGATACCTGGAACCCTGTAGTTTGGCGGAGAAATGTATCAGGGCTACGGTTTGCCGGTGGGAGATGATCTCAGAACTGGGCTCTGCCAGGATAACTCGGTTGGAGCATCGTTCAGATGCACCTGGGTTGCTGGCTCTGTCCAGGTCAGGGCACGTGCAGGAATCAACCAATGAATGCATAGGTATGTGGGACAACAGGTCAATGTTTCTCTCATCAATAAATTTTATTTTTTATATTTATTTTAGAGAGGGAGAGATAGAAACATCAATGATGAAAGAGAATCATTGATTGGCTGCCTCCTGCATGCCCCCCACCCGGGATGGAGCCCCCAACCCAGGCATGTGCCCTTGACCGGAATTGAACCCAGGACCCTTCAGTCTGCAGGCCGACACTCTAGCCACTGAGCCAAACCGGCCAGGGCTCATCAATAAATTTTAAAAACACAGACAGCTGGTTTTAATGTGGCTAGGCCACTTAGTAGCTACATGAACTAGGGCAAGTTGTTAAATTCTTCCTACCTCAAATTTCTTGTAAAACGCAGCTCCAAAGCTTTATTGATAGTTCTTGGGGGCTTTGGAGAACTTTGGTGCTAGGGAGAGTCCATTTATTAAACATGCTTATCACTAAGCCTCCAGTTTTGCCATCAAAGAGGAGTATGAAAGAGTCTTTCAGGGTTTTGGGCAAAGCCCAAAGATCTGAAACTTCTATTTTATGTTATTGCAAACCTGCATTGACCACTATAATGTATGTTTTGTATACAGTGTTTTCAAAAAACACACAACATCTTTAATAAAATCGACACTCAAGGAAGATGTTGCTGGTTAAGATCTTGGGATCTGGAGTTAAACTGAAGAGTTCTCTTCAATAAGCAACTTAGTCACTCTGAACCTCAGTTTCCTCATTTGTTAAATGGAGAGAAAATATAGTCCTACCTCACAGGATTGTTGTGAGGATTAAATAGATGATGCTTATAAGTCACCTAGTATAGTGTATGATATGTAATGAATACTCAAAATATTAACTTTTTATTATCCTCATTCAGAAAACTCAGACTGAATGGATGAAAACAGAGTTAATATAGTCATTTTAATATATTTTATTGATTTTTTACAGAGAGGAAGGGAGAGGGATAGAGAGTTAGAAACACCGATGAGAGAGAAACATCCATCAGCTGCCTCCTGCACACCCCCCACTGGGGATGTGCCCGCAGCTAAGGCACATGCCCTTGGCCAGAATCGAACCCAGGACTCCTCAGTCCGAAGGCCGACGCTCTATCCACTGAGCCAAACCAGTCAGGGCAATATAGTCATTTTAAAGCTGACCCCTTTTGTCCTAGTCAGTCACTCAGTGATTAGAGCGACGGTCGGAGTACTGAAGGGTCCTGGGTTCTAGTCTGATCAAGAGCAGGTACCTAGGTTGCAGGCTCAATCCCTGGCCCTGGTTTGGAGTGTGTGTGGGAGGCAACCAGTCAGTGTATCTCTTTTACATCGATGTTTTTCTCTGTCTCTCCCCCTCCCTTCCACTCTAAAAATTAATAGAAAAAATATCCTTGGGTGAGGATTAACAAAACAAACAAACAAACAAAAAATTCTGATCTCTTTTGAATTCAGGAACCCCTTTAAGCGTCTGATGAGCCCTAGCCGGTTTTGCTCAGTGGATAGAGTGTCAGCCTGCGAACTGAAGGGTCCCAGGTTTGATTCAGGCCAAGGACACATGCCTCAGTTGTGGGCTCCATCCCCAGTAGGGGCCGTGCAGGAGACAGCCAATCAGTGATCCTCTCTCATCGCTGATGTTTCTCTCTCTCTCTCCCTCTCCCTTCCTCTCTTAAAAATCAATAAAGACATTATGCTAAGTGAAATAAGCCAGTCAATGAAAGAAAAATACCACATGATCTCACTCGTTTATGGATAATAAAGACCATTATAAACTGATGAACAAAAATAGATACAGAGGCAGAGCAGCATCGAACAGACTGTTAAACTACAGCAGGAAGGCCGGGGAGGGTTTAGGGGAGGGGGGTAAGAGATCAACCAAAGGACTTGTATGCATGCATATAAGCATAACCAATGGACACAAGACACTGGGGTGGGGGGGTGGGGGAGGCCGGGGGAAGGTCAAGGGGAAGAAAAAAAGGGGAGATATATGTACTACTCTTTGTAATATTTTAAGCAATAAAACAAAATTTTAAAAAATCAATAAAAAAATATTTTTTTTTAAATAGTCTGACGAACGCTATGGCCTGTCTCCTCTGTCAGCAAAAACATACACACAGTTTTACTTATCACTTCTGAAAGTGTTTCAAGAATGTCTGATGAAATGATTGGATGATTGTGTATTAGGATGCGAATAAACCCTAGCTGAAGCAATCTTTGTTCCCTCCTTTTGGTGTGGTGCCAAGGCCCTGGGTCCCCTAGTCTCCCTCCCCAAGACCCATGAGACAGAGGTAGAGTAATTATTATTATCAGCTTTATTATTGGCATGAAGGCAGGGAGGTGGTGACAGTGCAAGGCCCTTCTGTGGGTGAGGGAGTGGAGGACTTGACCAGCCAGCACTGATCCTCCAAGCTGGCCTCCCAATGGGTTCCAGGGCTCCAGGTGCCTCTGGCTTTCAGCAGAAGCAGAGGGTGGGCAGGTGGGCAGATTGCAGGCATTGGATAAGTAGGCTCCTTAGGGCTGCTCTGGGGCTGGGGTCGGACTGGGGTTGGGAGGGGGTGGGGGGCGAGGCTGGATGTCCCTGGTGCGCATATAGGACAGCAGCTGCTCCGGGATCTCCGCCAGCACATCCTTGGCTAGTCGGGC